AAAGAAAGCCATGAGTGTATTTTCACAAGGTCAGCTCCAGCACTGTATTTCAGGAGTATTCTGTGCATGCCTACTGGATCTGGGCAGAGGACGATGTGAGAGGAACAATTAAACAGATGGGGCATGACTCAGTTCACAACATAGTCATACTGTCATTATATATAATTTGGTGTTTCCTCTCTGACCTTCAGCTTATTTGACAATAATAAGTTCTTTGCTCCAGGGTATCTAAGACTTCTACATCAGACCAGAAAGTCTGACATGGGGTCTATAAACAATCAATTTTATTTTTTATTTTTTTTTCAGAAGAGGGTACTTTTCATTTGAGTTTAAATATTAAATTGCAGCTGTAGTGACCACATTACTTTTTTCCACAAGTAAGTTTTCATGGCAATATACTTCAGTAGCTTTAATTTAAATTTATATTGATAACTAGTTACTTTTTTATGCTATTTGTTTTAATTCTTCTCAACATTATAGCCGTTTAAATACACAGTGGCCTCACAAAAGACCAAAAAATGCATATGCATTTAATATAGAACAGAGACACATCTGCCGTCACTTAAAACAGGAAAACAGAAAAGAGGATTGGTTAAAAAGTCTGTAGGATGTTTTAGCAGCCACCTGTCATTCTCCTAATTTTGTCTGATCTGAATCAACTAAATTTTACTTTTAAACGAAATTAGCATGTATGTCTTGATATGATCAGATTCATTGGTAGCTAAATGTTTTATACCTCTGGAAGTAAAATCCCTACTTTAATCCCCTTGGAACAAATACTGTAAGTTCATGATCATAGGAAGACTTCATCACCTCAAAAATACTTCAATGAAGTTTCCAATTTATCTTTCTATTAATTACACCTATGTTGTATCTGTCTTTCTTATAACCCTGCTGGACAGCAATTAAAGTTGTGCATATAATCATCTTCCCACAGTACAAAGATCTTCAAGAAATATGTTCTGGCTTTTATCTTAAAGATAAGAAAGAACCTACGTGGATAAAAATGGAGTTTTTAATGAAAGCCTTCTGGGAAAAATAAAGAAGTAAAAGCTAAATGATTTTACAATGTCATTAATTAAGTCAAGTTTATGAAACTGGCTTCAGGGTTTTCCCTGTAAAAACACTATCTAACTCCTCTTACATACATCATGCTTCATTAACACTGTTTTCTTCCTATTATTTCTCTGATGAAAAAATACCACCACTTCAAAATGAAATATCAAAATGTTGATAAGAAAATGAGAAATTATTTGACATTGAAAAGTAGTAGTTTATAGATAGCAATTAATGCTAATGAAGCAATGTATTAGGTACTGACACTTGTCTGTTTCCTTAGAATGTTGTTCCTCTGAAAAAAAGTGGGGTGGGATAGCACCAATGCTCTCATTGTAACAGCTCTTCAGATTAATGTCATGGACACAAAAATAGCGTCTAGGCAGAATTTTGATTGTAATTGTGGTTTTGGACTGCCTAAGTTTTTCCAACTTTTACCATCTTCCCAAGCTTTCTGAGTGGTGAGGCTTTCGTGTTTCAAGTGCAGAACAGTTTCGTAATACAACTCTCTAAATAAATTTCCTATAGCTTTAAGTACTTTAAGCTGAACCCTGACCTGAAGCTACTGATGTTACTGCTCCTTGGTGTAAATGACTGAAGCAGGAGGAGGATCAGCAGTCCACTCGACTGGAATCTGTTCTCATAGACTTTGCATGACTTCAGGAGCCTCTTTCCTCTGTGTTTTGTATTTTTGTTTTTTTTTTTAATCCTGAAAAAACAACATATTACAAGCAGAATTTAGGGCCTTCTGTATATTGAAGCCTCCTTACATGAGCTTTTAAAGATCTGGCCCTACTTTTCAGTAAAGACAGCTGGAAACATGCTGCTCTTCATCTACTTTCTTAATATTTGGCACCAGAACACTGCTGCAAAACCTGATAATCCATCTGCTTGTAGGCTGTATTTGTAAGCATGTGCTTCCTAAGGTGAAACATCATTTCCTGTTTGATACCAATCTTGCTCGTAAGTATTTGGTAATTGATTATATAGTCTATATGTTTCTTTTTTATATATTATATATTTGTATCATTCATTATTGAAAAAGGTTGATAATTTTTTACACTATCTTGCTTTATTATGGTTCAGGATATAGCTCAGAGGTGCTCCATCTCTGTTTTCATTCTAGCATTGAATAAATAAAGATTTGAAATAGTAAGAACAGGAATCTTGGAAATGATGGTTAGCAGTTTTCTTCAGCTGCCTCCTTGGATTATCCAATAAAGTTCTAGATATTTAATACTGAAGGTTGATGAGCAAACTTTGATAACGAGGTCTGAATTTTATTCAAGATTTTAAAGACAGGAGCTATTCTACAGAAAATAGTTACCATCTGTTCTGTAGACAGCTTTGTCTTGCCTATAAGCATCTCTCTTCATGGCTTTCTTAATTTCCTCTGACTCTCAATCCTGTACATTCCCACATCTGTGCCTTGCTTAGATTCCTTCCTTGCTGTCTGATGCTCAGCATAGTTTTTTTAAGTCATATTTCTCCCAGAAATATTCCCAAAGCAATCACATTCCCATAATCCTTGAACTAAACATCTCACTTCCCTTTTGGCTTTAATTTTCTTTTTTTTTAAAAAAAAAAAAAATTACTTTGTTTTAATATGAATTTCTTCGGTCATATATGAGTTTTAAATTATTTTAAAGAGTAAGACAAACAAAACGTGTATCTCTTATCCAGAGGGATACTGAAATCAAAAAGAGTAAAGCATACAATTGGTTTGGGTTTTAAGTTATGATGCTGATTATTTTGAAAGTATTCTTTTCTTGGCAAGTAGTTAAATATTTACATTCAGTGAGGCTTCTGAAAGCAGCATAATTATAGACCACAGTCCAAAACACAAGTTCTGCAGGGTTATTTTTTTTTTTTTAAAGAAGTACAATGTCCAGATAACTCCTGTGAGAGGTATGTCATGCAGGAGTGCTCATGGTGGAAGTTGTCTGCATTTTACTTCATTTTAGAATATCTGTGATTCATGAGGGGAACCCTTTTCATTCTTGTGTAATAGAATTCTTGTGTCCTGTTACTCTTGTGACGAATTTCAAAGAAACTCCTCAAGCAAATATTTGTTTCACATCTCTTTTGTGAATTACTTCTACTGAAGACTGGGTGTTTAAATCACTCTTAGCAACTTATTACAATACTTTAACAGGTTATTTGAATCACAATCTTTTGTGAGTTAAAAGATATTTTTGTTATGATCTTATGAGTGACACGATATTGTCATCTTAAGAATGATCCTGAACTTATCTATACAGCTCCTTCACAACGGTAACTAATATTTATAAGATGAACTGAGTACTAAGATGTGATTCCATCGTGCTGACATTACATGATGTGATTCCATCATGCTGACAACTGTGGAAGGCATTACTTCTTTTTTGCCTTTTTTGCTCATTTACGGACCTCAGTCACACTATAGGTGCTAAAGTCCAAATGAGAAATTATTTTATAACACTCTTCAGTTCTGACATTTTTTCCCCAACAAGATTTAAATGTTCACGCAGAAACATTGCTGAGAAGTAATGCACCTTCTGCCTCCTAAAGGTCTGTCATGTTTCCAGACTGAAATATGGAAGTGCCTTATTTCCACGGTTTTGTTTGTATGGTCCCTGTATAATTACTGTAAAATAATTTAATAACTTTACTGCCAACATGAAACTGTACGTTTCATGCCCTTAATTATTATTAAAATGAGATGTGAATGCTACTGTCAAGTTTTGATGAATATTTAGGGGCATTTTCTTAAGAGGAATAATTCAGATCTTTATTAATAGCTTGAATTAAAAAAGAGATTTGAAAACATTTAAAGGCCGAATTGAGATTAATTGCATACTCATACATTTTTAAGGGGAATAGCAGGCTCCTTTCAAGTTTCAAATTATATTTTTTATTTGAAGTTTGTTTGAAAATAATGAAGCTTGAAAATTGTTCAATGAATTGATACGATAGTTCTTCAAACAGGAATTATTTGCTCCTTGTAAATATTCATTTCCAAAACGGTGAACAACGAAAAATCACTTACCCACATTTAATCTGCCTGTCACTTCTCCATTTGAATTGCGAGCATTCACAGTCACATTGTGAGTAGACTGGAGAAGTAGTGATGAGTCCTGAAGTATGGAGGGAAAAAAGTAGATTCAGCAGAATAATTAGAATTGTTAACAATTTTCAAAATTTAGTGTAGTGTTCATATTAGCTCAGTCCCTGAAAGAGTTTTGCAGCTACAAAACCATCCACATAGGTCATCCAATAATCTGGGCAAATATTATTGATTACTTGACTATATCAGATTTAAAATAGGAAAAATATTGTGGAGATTATTTCAGGTGAACAAAATCTGTGTTACTGGCCCAATGAACATGGTTGCCAATATTTTATATTTTGGAAAAAAAATGCCGAAATTCCGCATTTACTACATTTCAATATATAATTGAGACTTCTAGAAGATAGCCATTTCATTAAAGTATCAGTACCCCACTTTGTGAATTTATACTGTCATACATGCATTTGCATTCTGCTTCCTCAATAGTCCATACTTGATTTTAGCACCGGGCACCAACTTTCCTGGCAAGGAAACTCAGACAGTGGGTGATGGAGAAAGTGGTAGGTTGACTAGCTCAAAGCTGACTTTAGCAGATGACAGTACAGATAAGTGTCCGTCTAAATTAAATTGTCTCCCTGTCCGCCACCGATAAGGATGACAGAAGCACATCAGCAGGCTAATCAGCATCATCTGCCTGTCTACATCCCTGCACCATGATTTGAGTCCAATAAACCCTGTGCTGTTCCACATCTGGTGTGCCAGTATACAAAATCACAAATGTAGGTCACAAAGCAGTGGCACTCATATTTGACTTCACTCTCTTCACAGGTTGCATCACAGCTGGGACACTTGCAGAGCAACCAGAGCTCATCCATCATCCTGCACTACTTATGGAAGCCAGGGCACGCCGAGCAGGTGTAATTGGTGTCTTCATTCATCCCTACCACACCTCACCACAATCCAGACTACCTTTGGTAGGCAATTCAAAATTTCATGTCTTTCTTAGGCTTCAGACAGCATGCAATTACTTCATCATAATAAAACTATCCCCTTGTGTTAACTCCTGGCTTGGTCTTGTGCTTGTTGAACTCCTCCTGGCTGATGTACAATTTCCATTGTGTATACCCAGACCTTCTGCTCAAACTCTGTTATTCAGGCCTGTTGGAGCCTCCCGAAGTTTCTCTTCATCTTCATGAGCAGATAAGAAATTGTTTTGAAAGACACAGCTGTCCACTGCACCCAGGCTAGGTATACAGACAGTAATGAAACTGGTTCATGGCCATTTGAAGTGTCTTAAAACTCTGTAAGGAGGGCACCGAGTGCGTGGTTCTTCCATTTTTTTTCAGTTTACCACCCGAACTGTCTTCAGCTGATTTTCAGGGAGATCATACTGGCCACTGTCTTTACCTGATTTCAAGTATCAGAAAATTATCTGGGCATAAAAAGTCTTATCACATTTATTTGGATCAGTAAATTGTAGCCACACTGGCAGACTTTAAAAGAGGGGAGGAAGATTTTTGCAGAAAAAGTGCTTTCATACAAAGGATACTTTGTACCTAAAGGACACAAACTTAGTAACTGGGAAGGGTGCCTAAGCAGACCTCAGTTGCCAAAGTACCCGGGAATGCATGAGATAAAGGGGGCATTAGCAAGCTGCCTGCTTGCGACCTCGGCAGGGATACTTATTCCTAGATAATTGAATTGTTTCCTAACTACTGGAGCATTGTTAAAGATCAAGTTTTTCCACATATATGGCTTCTGGTACTTTTTCTGGACTCAAGAGAGACTATGCAGCACATTGAAGGGCTAACCCCTGAAAAATCACTCCCAAGACATGTTCCTATTGTAATTTAATGCTTAGAGGATGAGATAACTGAGAATTTTGAACAGATTTTATGTGAAGAATTTTACTTCAAACACTTACCTAATAACAGTGGTAGAAGAAATACACAATTTGGAGTGCAACTTACATATATATTTTTTTTTTAAAAAAATAATATCTTACAAGTAGGAAGGCAGGCTATCCCAAAAAAAGTCATTAAGTGAGCAAAATAAATGAAACTCATTTTGTAAATCATATAATAAAAAAAAGAAAGGTAATAAAATTAGCAAAAATAATGAAAAGTCTTAGGAAAAAGGTAAGCAGTACATTAGAATGAACATTAATGGTAACTATTAAAATGAAGTTGAAAAGGAAGATTGAGAAAGATCAGGTAAATATTACATTTAAGTACATGTGCTCAATGACCCAGAAATCTGGGCATCTTTATTACGTTTATTTGACTCTGGCTGGTTGTTTTAAAAAATAAGCAATTTGGAATAGAAGATGTTAAGTGCAACAAAACTATATAACAGAACTGCAGCATCCACACATGTTTTCAACTAATTAAATCTAGTACCATATTTATAAATTCTCATATTTTATCTTTCCATGGATATGTATTAGCTAGGATGCCATGGTGTTGCCCACAACACTGTGTTGGACTCATAATGAAGGTATAAACTTGTAATAATCTCTGGAGATGATGCACAGCAAGTAGATTTTCTGCTACATATTTTCTTAGCATTTTGGAGACCTCGTTAGGTAAGAAAAGCTGTTAGGAGATTGCAAGAGGAGAGCTGTTAGGGCAAGGGAGAAAGCTGCTATGAGAGTTCCCATTTCTCTAACAAACAAACAGAAATTTTAACAAATAAGCAACTTTATAAGAATAAACATATAGATGGCACTCAGGAGATCGTTACAGGCAATTAAGCCTCTAGAGAATTCAAATATTTTAAAAAGCAAGCAAACAAACAAAAAAACCTTTGATGAATTATCAGTTCATAAGGGGCAATAGCCTGAAGGCTCTAATTAATGCATGCTACTAATGATTAGGATGGGTCATTAAACATTTAAGCTTATATTAGATGTTGCCACACCTCTTTCTTCCTAAATTTGCTAAACGTATTAAGAACTGGAAGGAATATTAAAAGAGCATGAATGGTAGCTTAACGTTGCATAATAACTATTGTTTGGGGCAGAGGGAGTTCTTAAGGATGAGATATGCTGGTCTTACTGGTAAACAAACTCAAGGGAAATTCATTTAAGCATATAAATAGCTTTCCACTTCCTATGAGGCAGAAAATACAAAAGAAAAAAACCAGAAATATAGATTTAGTATTGGAATTTCACTATCTAAGAGCTGTTCCTGCTGCTGGAAATGCTTGCTGCAGCGAGGTCACTAATAAAGTTCAACAAGGGCAAGTATAAGGCCCTGCTCCTGAGAAGGAATAACCCCATGCACCAGTACAGGTTAGGGGTTGACCTGCTGGAAAGCAACCCCCCTGGAGAAGGTTGTGGGTGTCCTGTTGGATAACAAATTAACCATGAGCCAGCAGTGTGCCCTTGTGGCCAAGAAGGCCAGTGGTATCCTGGGGTGCATTAAGAAGAGTGTGACCAGCAGGTCGAGGGAGGTTCTTCTCTGCCTCTGCTCTGCCCTAGTGAGGCCACATGAGGAGTATTGTATCCAGTTCTGGGATCCCCAGTTGAAGAGAGACAAGGAACTACTGGAGAGTCCCATGGAGGGCTAGGAAGATGATTAGGGGACTGGGAAACCTCTCTTACAAGGAAAAGTAGAGAGACCTAGCTCTCTTTGTCCTGCAGAAGGGAAGACTGAGAGACAATCTCATCAGTACTTATAAATGTCTAAAGGGCGGGAGTCAAGGGGATGGGGCTGTCTCTTCTCAGTGATGCTCAGGGACAAGACAAAGGCCAACAGGCACAAACTGGAACAGAGGAAGTTCCATCTGAACACAAGGAACTTTTTTCCTCTGAGGGTGATGGAGCACAGGAACAAGCTTCCCAGAGAGGCTGTGGTGTCTCCTTCTCTGGAGACTTTCAACACTTGCCTGGACATGCTCCTATGAAAACTGCTCTAGGTGAACCTGTTTGGTATGGGGGTCAGACTAGATGATCTCCAGAGGTTCCTTCCAACCCCTACCATTCTATGATTTTGTTGCAGAAAGAGAGAAAAATAAAGGTGTAATTGATATAAACTATGTTGATATCAATTAAATTTCAGCAATCAACATTTTAATAGCCTTATTCTGATAAATCTATTTACATTTTCTCTCGTTACAGTGATGCAAATGCTAACTTTTCCCCTAGTTCATAGCTGTCTCTTTCTTCTTGGTGAGGATGATTATGTCTGAAGCAATGAAAGAGCCATATTCAGCTTTTATACTCATTGAATAGTACTTTATTCAGTGAAATGCCCTGTTGGTTGATGATAATCTTCATAAAATATGGCTTTATTTTGTGAGACTTTGGGTTACAGATGATAGTTCTGAAAAACATTCATTCTGTTGGCCAGAAACAGGAAAAATTCTACAAAAAAATTCACTGGAATAAGCTTCAGAGTTCACACGGATAAATAAAAACCAATTGAGATTCTCTCCTCCTTTGTCTAAATTCAGTACTTCAATAAAAATCTTTCATATCATATCCATTTTCAGTGCTATTTTGAAATTAATCTGCTTGATCAATATTTTCTTTTACCAAGTATGTTATTCCTTTTATACCTCAATAATAAGAAGAACATTTTGTTTATGTAAACAAGATTAAATCCTAAATCTTTACAATTAGTTTTGTAGATTTTATATACATAAATATATAAAGAGACCATACATTTAATATTGTTGTCCTAGATGTGCCAAAACCTGAACTTATTAGAGAAATCATAAGTTTTCCAATAGGATCTGCTAATTTTAGAGGTATTGAAACTACTCTGTAATGGATGAATGAACAAAATAAGCAGTTTCACAGGGAAGCCTGCATTATAAATCTTTGTAAATATAATAAAAAACTTTATACATACTTAAAATTTTAGCAATACTTATACACAGTGACATTTATAATTCCTTTTATAGCTACTTATCACAAACCCAAGAGAAAAATGTTAATTTTGCCTTAGTGTCAGAACATGCTAAGCATCAGAACACAAGAAGGGCATAGACCTGTTGGAGTTAGTCCAGAGGAAGGCCCCAAAAATTATCAGGGGGCTGGAACACCTCCTCTACGAGGATGGGCTGAGGCAATTGGGGTTGTTCAGCCTGGAGAAGAGAAGGCTCTGGGGAGATCTTATGGTGTCCTTCCAGTATCTGAAGGGGGCCTCCAGAAAATCTGGGCAGGGACTTTTTAAAGGAGCTTGTAGTGATAGGATGAAGGGTAACAGGTTAAAACGGGAAGAGGGTAGATTTAGATTAGAGGTAAGGAAGAAGTTTTCACTATGAGGGTGGTGAGACACTGCAACAGGTTGCCCAGGGGGAAGTTGTGGATGCTCCATCAAAACAAGGAAGTTTTTAAGACTAGGCTGGATGGGGCTTTGAGCAACCTGGTCTAGTGGGAGGTGTTCCTGCCCAAGGCAGGGGGATTGGAATTAGATGATCTTTAAGGTCCATTCCAACCGTAAACATTCTACGATTCTATGATAACATTGACTTAATGATCATGCTTGTAAAGTATGCAAAAATATGTGTTTACACACACACACACATATATATATATATATGTATATGTATATATACAGAGTTCCATGGCAGATGCCTGGACTTCGCCTGAATTGAACTGTTCACAACTGCATTAATTTTATTTTAGCATTATTGAAAGATTCTCTGCTTACCACTCGAGAATGGATTTCTTTGGCATACAGAGGGAACAAGAACTCCGATTCCCCTTCCAGACGAAGGCCTTCTTTTGTAACACGCAGGTGTCCCATTCCAGTCTGAGGAGAAGATACAGGAATTATCCACATTTTATTATTGTTGCTGTATTTATATTTTATTCTTTTCATAAACTGAAAATGTCCAGAGCTGCCTGACTTGAGTCTATTGATAAGGATACCTATACTCATACATGTAAAATTTTGAGAATTCCTCATTTATTGCAAGAATATTCTTTAAGGAACTGTAGTTTTCCAGAAAAAAATTATTAAAGTTGTGATTTTATTGTTTTTTTTTTTCATCTTCTAACTGCATGTCAATGCTCTACCTCTCACATTATTATGTTCCTCTCTATCATCTGCTTCTCAGTTTTTGTACCTTCCTCATCCTCTCAGTCTTCCTGATTTTAGCCCAGTTGTGCTTTCCAGACCCTATCTTATTTCATTCCTTTTATTTTCTTTCTTCATGGAACTGATAATGTGAAAAATAAGTGAGAAATTACTTTAGTAAGTACATCTGAAGGCTTCGAGGTATTTCACAGGTATTTAGCTAATTTATAAAGGATTTACTCCTCCCACTGCCATAAAAAGTGAAAGAAAAGGTGGCATAACATTTGTAGCCTTTTAGATTGTCTGTGCCTGAAAATATTTCAAGTAAACTGCCTCAGACTACAAGGAGTAAGTAGGAGGGCTAGATAAAAAAAACCAATAAATTAAAAAAGTATTTCCACTCCAAATGTTTTTCAGGTTGTTCTCCCTGTCAGCAGAGAAAAAGAGACACATAGCAAGTCACTGATGATACACCAATAACCTACTATGAATTAGAACAATAAATGAATTATGAATTATGCCTACCACTGATAAAAGTTATAACTTTTTGAGACTGTAACTGTTTCCAAATATGATATGTTCTGACCAATGAGATTATATATTTTACATATATATATTGGTAAATTACATGTCTAACCAGCAGTGAAAAACTGTAGCTTTTTTCTTGTAACAGGCTTGAAGGGAGACAAAGAAAGAAACAAGCTTTGCTTAAATTCCATAAGGTAGGAAATGTTCATGTGAGTGTGTGCTCCACTGGAGAGTACAACTGTGATTCCTCCTCAGCAAGAATTTATTTATTATTTCTTTTACTAATTTTTTTATAATAGCTATTTATGGAATCTGTTATTCAAGGTCAAATATTTTGCTGCATTAAAATACATAATGACTGACTTTTCTCAGTGGAAGTAGATATAATTACTAAATTTTAGACCATTGCAAAGCTTTTAAAAAGTGCCTAGTATATATTGATACACCTCATGAGGCAAAACTAAAATAATACCTATGATGAGACCCCTATGGCTTTCGTAATCACAATCCCTAAGCAGGATGTAGTGATTTAGAAATATGATTTTCTAGTGAAGGCTATAGGCAGTTTTTCCTAACTTGTTACACAAAATAGAGTACGCCAACATTATAAAAATACCCAGATTTTAAGACACTCTTTTGAAAAATAAGACATGAAATATTCCAAGGAAATACACCAACAAATGGGCCTCATTTAATTAATTAAAATTGGTGTCTCACTAATTGCTCTGATCTCGTGCCTTTTCTCATCATTAACTACCAGGTTTAAGCACAGTGTGCACATTTTTTTCTGGAATATAAGGAACTAAATAAACAGGATATTATACGGAAAGTATAAAAGAATATATCGACAAATCTGAAATTTAAGAAGGCAGAGGAAGAAAAAGTAGCAATTAATTCTTGCTCTGAAGCAGAGAAGCAGATTGGGGAAAATTAACAGAGTCCTGTGTGGCAATCTCTATCCTGCCTTTGGCTTTGCCAAGAAGAAATTTTCAGTAGAGACAAAAAACACCTGTAACTGATGTTGAAATAGAAGATTATGCAATTTACTCAGCACATTCTTTCTAATGAACTCAGATTTTTTCAGCAATGATTATTCTAAAAATGCTATATAGACAAAGAAATGTCTTTGACACCAAAAATAATATGCCACGTGACAAATATGCCACTTTAACTCATCTGCAAGTTCTTACTTTCCAGTAAACCCAGTCATATCACTCAAGATTACTTTGTATCAGTATGTCCTAGTTTTTCATCAGATATTTCATGTAAACATTGACACAAAGCTCATATTCTCACATATTTGAATAAGAGCCTCATTATCCATTCTCATTGACTACTTGGGAAGTTTAGACTTGGGTTACCTGCATAAATGATGATCTGTGATGACTAACAGATAAACTCTGTAACATGCATGAGAACAACAAGGATTTGACTCGTGTGGAAACTGGTGGCAGCTGCCAAACCCTTATGCACCAAAGATAAAATTTAGCATTAGTGTTCACAAAGGTGTGACCAGTTTTCATTTTGAATCTGGTAGGCATACTCTAACTGGAGTGACAGGATGTCTTCAACCGCAGTGGAAGCATTTTTTATAATTTGAAAATGCTTCCAAGAAGTGCTCGTAGAAACAGAGACAAGGCCTTCCAGATTAAAAAAAAAAAAAAAAGGCAAGCAGCTCTGGGTGGGTTCAAGCCTCATAAAAGCTCAACAAAAAGCTCTTTGATTCAGAAATCATAATCTAAGTATATTTGACAGCTATTCAATGAATTGCCTAAATAGGGTTACTCCACCTGAAATGAGCAGCCATCACTACGAGAATCCTATGTAAGACTCATTGTACTACAGAGCATATGGATGGGAAGACCATCTTGGATGGGCTGTCATTCTCTTAGACTCTAGGGACAACAGATATGAAATATTTTCCCTCTGAAATAAGGGAAAGTGGTTCCATTCTCCAAAAAGCCAATAGAGAAGTGCAGTATGTCCACAAGCCTTGGGAAGGCCATTAAGTTTCTTTCAGAGGACTGTAGAAGTGCTAAGTCTGTTATCAGGATCAAAAAGTTCCAAAAGCCATACTGATGGCTCTGGTGGTATGGCCACCTTCTTCTGGCTATGACTGTCTGTGTTGAGGAAAACAGAGAAATGACTGTGTAAAGCAAGATTGACAGCACTGGTATGGCCAGTGCTAAAGGCCTGTCTTGTTAAAACAAGATGCAAGAACTTTCCCTCTTTCACCTGTTATAGTGGGACCTGCTGCTCTGGCTCATGCCCAAGGAAGTCAGATGCACATTGCACAGTGCTGTGGGACTGCTAGAAGTGGAAACAAGCAGATACAGCTCTAGGGCTCTCACACTCACAGTGACTTGCTCTCAGGTAGCTGAGCCTTATGCTGTCTATTAGCATTAGATGATATATTTGGGATTCATCTCCCAAGGCAATACGGGAACTCATTTACCTCCAAGGTGATTTGAACTGCTAATGATATTAACTTCAGAGTAGAGAGGACGCAGCATTTCCGTTCAGATAACACCTTTTTGTACTTATGGGATACTTACATCCTACTTCTAGGCCAGTCCAGGGATAGAACTTGGCAAGTTCAGAACAAGACAATGTTTGTTGTGCCCCAAAGCTAGTTCAATTAATGGCTTTATAGATCCAGCTTTCATTGCAGTCCTTCTTGCAGCAACTACTATTTAGGGAACTTGCTTTGCAAACAAGAGCGTACTGTTTCATTGAGATAATAGGGCTGTGGGTAGAGATTGTTAAAGAGCAATCAGCAAAACAGGACTGGTAATGAATCTGATGAAACTCTGTTTGACTTACAATATCTATTTTGCAGCTAAGTACGTGCTTGGTATAATAACATTACTGATGCCTCATCTCATTTTCTGTGGCAAGGACTCTGTTTCCTGGGCTCAGACAGAGAAAGTTATCCAACACCTCTTCTTAGGTGACAGTGGAGTCTTTTCTGTCAAAGACATTGGTCAAATCAGAGCCCTTAGAAACAGCTAGCACTCCTGGTATAGAAGTTAGTCTCACCTGGCTTAGGGCTGGATACAAAAACTCCATTGCAGATGTAGCTAGAAAGTGAGTAGGTAATATTCCATGATGCAGAAAAGTAGCTGACTGCTCTGAACTCAGCAGTTTTGCAAGGAAATGACTACAGAAGAAGCAAATTCATCATACCATTGACATTTGCTTAGTTTTGGTGAGATTTATTTCATAAAACAAGATTAATATTTAAGATGCACACTTTCAAGATGGTTCAGGTCCTCTTTGTCCTGATATATAGAATAACAGATTTTTTTAAAGTAAAGAAAGGTATTAAATACAATGCGTACTACTCAAGAGGAAAACTTCTCAAAACAGATTCAGTTCCAGCTTTGTTTCCTTCTTTGGCAAGGATCAAATTCTGTGTCTGGTTCTGTATTGCACAGACATTTCAAAGCTAGATAACACTTGGCTACTAAAAGTGCCATTACATCTGGCACTACGTCTCCTGTGACTGATTTACTCAACATTAGAAAAATAGACTGCTACTCCCACTGCTATATATACTTATTCAGGAATTGAGTTTTCATAAGTTGGCTAATTCATTTCATTATATTAACACTTGTAATTATTCAACTTAGCTAAAGAAACTGAATTAAACTTTTCCCTTTGATTTGTAAAGATCATCAAAAGGATTTTCTTCAGAACAATAGCGCATGATGCTTATTTCTTGAATTCCTCTGAGGAACCAGAGATATTTGTGTGGTGCATATGATTAAACAGACTATGTATGGACTGATTATTGTAAATCCTCTAATTTGTACTAGGTGGTGTTTCATCTTATGGTCTCAGTGCTCTATACCTGTGTAAACACCCAGTGACAAGTGTTTCAAGCCTGAAAAGAACTTGCTCTCTAAATAGTCAAGATAACAAAAATGTAAGATGAAAAAAGACAGAGAGATGTTGCATCCCTCATAAAGCATTGCTGAAGATGTCTCCAGCTCTGTCTGAAAGGAATGAATTAAATATTAAGTACCTGGGTACCTGAGATCAAGGTTGGAGGTCACATGCAGGCAAAGTGAAATCAGGGTGTGTACTTGGATCCAAGCACTGGGAAGTCCTTGGTTCTCCCATTTTGGAAATGTTATTAGTTGTCATCAGTGTCCTCAACCATTCTATGTCAACTTACATTATTCTAAGAAATATTACAGTAA